ATTAAAAAATTATCAATTTTTATAATATTTTATATAAATTAATTACAAAAAATTATGTTTATTGCACTTTAAATAAACTCAATTTTTAAAAAAGATTATGAAATTTCGGTTTCAAGGGAGTTCCATCCCATGTGTTGGTCAGCACAGAGAGACTGCGGTTGAGTATTTGCCAATATAGATAACATAATTGATATTGGGTGGAGATTTTATACAATAATTTTTAGTAATACATATCTAAATTGAACAAAAATCAGAATTGGATCAACATGACATTGATATTTTAAATACTGATAGAAAAAATAAATAAATAAATAAAAAGCATTTTTAGGTGGCCCCAATAATTTGTTATGTGAACTTAACCACTTCTTGGCATGAGAGGGAACGAGTAATCTTGGAACCTTCATTATTTGACATCCAGATCTGATGCAGAACAATATTGATGATTCCCTGGCTCGATTCCTTGAAGCCACACACAACTTCTGAATGAAAAGCAAAGATAGATCGATACAATATTGATCAAAAGATTCTACTGAGCAAAGGATAGCAAGCAAAAAAGATTCATTGATACAATATTGATAAAAAAAAAAGATAATACAGAGCAACGGATAGTGTCTTTTCTAATCTAAAAAGTGCTAGAAAAATATAATGAATTGACAAAAAAACGAAAGTGTAATTACGAGACTAAACAGGAGGGTTCATCTTCCACCCCTGCAAAAGGGTAGAATAAAACCCTGATTTAATCAGGTTTCAAATTAAGCCAACATGGGCTCTAATCTTAACCAAATCACTCAAAAATAATGTTTCAGTTTTTACCTCGAGAATTCATCTCCCACACTCTGCATCTCGCGCCTGCACATCATCCACAGTCTAATTTTATTGGTTAGAACTAAAATTTCAAAAACTAAAAAACCCCGGCCACTCATCAGCAGTAATACCAAGCAGCTGTGTTTTTTAACGTGTGGCCGGAACACATCCAGCCGCTCAGAATCTCATCTCCGCTATTTCCTTGTCCCCACTGCTTCAGGCTCTTTGACTCCCCGCAAGGGCTCGGCGGGCACCAGAACGCTCAGAAACACGAGCGAGCAGCTCAGCGAGACTTTCCGGCCAACCACCAGCAGCCATACCATCCACTTGCTCTGTTCCCCGCTGATCAACGTCAACAACACACCTCATCGATACCATTTCCCCACTCTCCGGGGCCCACCCAAGCCATCCATCACCTCATCTCGGCGATTTCCTTGTCCCCACTGCCCCCGGTTGTTTGACTCCCCTCAAGCGCTCGGCGGGCATCAGAACGCTCACAAACACGAGCTAGCAGCTCAGTGAAACTTTCCGGCCAGCCACCAGCAGCAATACCAGCTCAGCTCAGCGGATGTGGATGATTCTTCAACCAATACTGA